AGTTTCAATAAAGAGAACTCAATCCTGAAAAAATAGAAACATCTCAATGAACACCAAAATGAAAGTCTTGAAATGCTATGTTTGGTCAACCATTATATTATATGGCTGTGTATGCTGGACAATCACTAAAGACAGTGAAAACAAAATAGAAGCAACAGAAATGTGGTTTCTTGGGAGACTGCTAAGAGTATCGTGGAAGGAAAAGAAATCAAATGAGGTAGTGCTTGATGAAGCCGACGTGAGACGCTCAATGTTAAAAACAATCAGGAAACGACAAATGCAGTTTTTGGGACACCTAAATAGACATAAGGGTCTTGGACATTTAGCTCTCACTGGCAAAGTTGAGGGCAAGCGAGGCAGGGGTAGGCCCAGAACAACAGGGAACCTAAACAAATGGGTAACAGGGAAAGGTCAGGGAAACGTAGCTTTTTTGAAAGCATCCGAGCAAAGGAATGAATGGAGAACCATTATCGCCGATGTCTGTCGCAGATCTGGCACTGGATGATGATGATGATCACTCCGCTCCTGAAATGCTGAACAAAGAAACAACATATTCTAATCTCGTTGCAAAGCATATTATTTTGAATACTTTTACGATGCTGTAACACGCAGGAGACCTGATCTTGATTAAGTTAAGGGAGACTTTGGGGGCTGTCGTGGCCTAGAGGTTAAGGTGTTCGCCTTCCATTCAAAGGTCCCGAGTTCGAATCCGGGTAACGACAGAAACATTTTCATCTCTAAAATTGTCCCTTTCCCCTCCTTTCCTGCTCTCTAGCAATGTTCTGTCGTCTGCTTTCGTCTCAATTTCCTCCCACCCCCGCCACCCTTCACCTCCTTTGCCCCCTCCTCTGGTCCCCTGACTCTTTCTGCAGCCTTTCAACTATTACTCCTTGACTCCTTACTGCTGTCTTTCAGCCACACCCCTGATCTTCTAGTCGGAAAGATCTACACCTAGCCTTCTCGGAGAAGGGCGAAAAATCTCGGAGGTCCCGTGTGCAAGTAGCGCACGTTAAAGATCCCTTGGTGGTCTAAAATCGATAAGAGTATGCCACCTGGGCAAAATTTCAAAATAAAAACAGAACATGCAGTGATATATGAAGTGCACCCAAAACGTGTGTTGGTTTATAAGTTGATGCGTTTTACCATTCAACCTTCGGCGACAGTAATCAGCAGTGCACGTAATCATGACATGTATTAGAGACTGTTCACAAATGACGTCAGCTCAGAGGGGGAAGGGGGGAGTCAGTGAAAAGTTTAGAAAAGAAAACAAAAGAAAGGAAGGAAAAGTATTATTGACCTCGTTCTTGGCCTAATTAACACAGTTAATTGGACCATATTGGCCTAAAAACTAAAATTAACAGTTATCTCCCCAAAGCAGAGACCGCTAGAAGCCAGATTAGAACTAAAATAGGAGTGAAAAATATGCAATAGTTTTTATTTTTAAAATTTGAAATAAAGATCAAAGGTGTAAATATAAAATGCATCCTGTTAATGTTCTATCTAAATGTACATGAATACATTTTGGTTGAGGTCAAAGAGTCTACATAACATGAGGGGCCACTCCTCTCTTTGGGGCCAATTAAAAAATTGTCCCCAAAATTCGGTGGCGCCCTCTTCGCAAATGCGTACCCTTTGCGAACAGAGTTACCCTACTGGAGTTTAAAAAATCAAAGTGAAACTAGCAAATTTTTGGATAAATTTCGGAAGAACGCTTTTTTTCAATGGTTACGCTGACAAAATACCTCTTCCGGAGGAATGAGTGATTGTTTTCTTCGTTTAATTTGACTTTAGAATGAAAGGAGAGAGGTCATTAAAATTTTTAAAAACCTAAGACTCCGCACTGAACGAACCTGAACTGCTGATGAACAGCAGTCGATCTGCGCACGCAAGGAGGTGCTATTCCTATTCTTCTTCTGGAAAAACGAAAGAGAGCTTCAAAACAGACTGCAGCGCCATCTGAAGAAAAGAGCGGACTTCCGGCGGACACTTTTTTAGCTGAGTGGGCCATCTTGCTATGTTACTATCTTTGTTGACGTCAACAAGGTGGAAAGGGGTACATAAACATGTATGTTTTTCTGAGCTTCAGTTCTTCCCAGTATATGGTTCGAGGAAGCCCGACATTGAACTGTTTTTTAGACTTTTAAAACAAAATTCTTAACCACATGAAAATATTGAAAGTGTCTATGTTTTCTCTACTGTACAGCAATGATAATGATGACGATGATTGTTTGAATATTAACATTCTCTTGAGAATTTATATTCACTGACCAAACATTATTCAAGACTCTCCCTCCCTATTCTGCTTTTTTATTTACAATGATGACGATGATGACAATGGATCGAAATCATATTTTGTGTGCAAGGCAAAGAGTCCAACTATTGCGCTACAGACATCTCACCACCCCAGAATTACAAAGTTCTATCTGATGATTTTGACCGTTTTGAGTTTCTAAGATCATGAGATCAGAAACCATTTTATGCTCTATCTGCCCTATTAAAATCGTAAGATTATTCTGAGTCACTATCCAGATAATATTAATAGAATTATTATTGCATTCGAAAAATCTTGAAATATTATTGTGATGCTCAAAAGTTTTGACTCCACATTTCTTAAAACTAGGTGCTGAGCTGACAGAACTTTATAATTCTAAGCATTATCTCTATCTGCCCTATCAAAATCGTAAGATTATTCTGAGTCGGTATCAAGAAATTCACAGAATTGCATTCGAAAAGGCTTGAAATAATATTGTGAAGACCAAACCTTTTGACGTCAAATTTCTCAAAACTAGGTACTGAGCAGACATAACTTTGTAATCTGAGGGAGCGACCCGTCTCCCAGTTCATCCAGTTCCTCTAGGCCCAGTCATCAGAGTCAGAGTCACAGTGAATCTCCCTGGGAGGAAAGATGGACGTAGCGAAATCATGTGGAACTTTCTCACGTTCCTCCTGTTGAGGGGCAACTGAGCAGGCAGCGTTTCCAGAACCTTCAAACCGGGTATCCTGATGAATATAGGGTTGACTAAAATATTCACAATTTGATTCGTAGCCACTCGAATTTGAGTTTTGTAATAGATCTAGTTTGATCTGTTGTTCAATAGAAGTCATGTCGCCTCTGCCATTATCGGAATCAGAGGATTGTATGTTAGCATCTTCTCGTTCTTTACACGTTTCTTGAAATTCGCCTGGACTGAAACAGGCATTGGGTCCATCGTGTAACCTATATGGAAGCATAAACTTCTTCAACTGTGGGAAGTATTTGGAAGACTCCTCCTGACGGGCCCCAGTGGTAAAGTGTTCATTGTCAGAGTAAATTGTGATAACATCATTTTCAAACAGGAGTTCCCCTTGCTCAGCGTTCTCATTCACTTTCCAGGCCAAACTGAAGATGATATCCCACTTGCCGCTCCCCACCGTTGCCAAGAGCTCCAGGTTTTGGCTCGACTTGGAACTGAAATGACTCACAAGAAATTTACAGAATTGTTCACGGTCGCGAGGTAGTAAATATTGATTCTCAATACCATCAAGAAGAGGATTTGAAACTTCAGAGTTATCCGTTCGACATACGAGAGAGCCATGATGAGATGGTCTGCGCAATTCTCGTCCTAACCCAGCAACACTCTCGCTAGATATTGAGAGGGCAGGTATGTCAAGCGTTTGGCTAACGTAAGGGCTATAGGAAAAATCAAATACGACTAAGGCAGTATAGCGTGTGTCGACCTTTTGAAGCATACTTTTCAGCCTTGCTCCGGGTTCTCCCCCATCAGGCCCATGACCTGAAAACTTATCTGCTCCTGAAAGAATTATCATGCAGTCGCACCGTGCAATTTTGTCTTGGATACTGAAGAAAACATCCCTATCGCGTGCAGAAGTTGGATCATTTTCAACGGAGGGATGAGCCCAGGGCAGGAAGAGGAGGACATCCGTCTTACTGAAACGTTCTTTCACAAGTTCGTAGAAATACTTGGCGAGTAAACCTTCAAGTTTTCTGGAAGACAAGCTGATTATCCAAACAGCTTTCTTTTTGCTGGGCCGCCATATCACTGGGAGAGAAAAGTAGGAAATAAGAGGTTCAATTGACGACTAACGTTTTCAAATATATTATGAAGTTTGATCTCCACCCCTCCTTCCCCCCCCCCCCACCCAATAGAATTCAATGAATCAATCAACAAATCAATCAATCAATCAACCAATCAATCAATCAATGAATTAATCAATCAATCAATCAATCAGTAAATAAATAAATAAATAAATAAATAAATAAATAAATAAATAAATAAATACATAAATAAATAAATAAATAAATAGCCTACATGTAAATAAATAAATAACAAGAATGATAGAAAGAGACTCTTAGACTTTTCTGAAAGATTGCTCCATCCGTGTGGATGAATGGGTAGCTCTCTGTCTCAACAGATCACAGTGGTGTAAAGCCATGGTATGTTGGTAGAAAAAATATCAACTTAGTTTCTAAAGCAGGCGTAGCCACAAAAACAACACTCAAACCCTAACACTGACACTGGCCCAAGAGACCACAACTGCCCTGTTTGGAGGAAAATTCTTTGCGAAAAAAAAAAAGGTTTGAATGTGACGAAGGAAGCCCTAAGAAATTTTACCAACTACCCATATTTGTGTGTCACAGCGTGGTGAAACTAGGCACTCGTTCAAATAATGAAATTTAAGAAACCGACATGTGTCCGCCCATTTGACAGTTTTTATCAACTGTTTTGTTGTAGTTTGCTTTGGGCTCAACACCTTTCATGTCCATTAAAAAAATCCTTGAGGATTTTACTGGAAAAACGTTGAGCAAAGTGACTAAAAACGTAAATTCGGAGGTGTCCAAGGACACTATAGCTTTGGAAGTCACCAAATTTTAACGACCATTTTCTCGCTTGTTTCCCTCTGATACCTCTGATAACATTGAGTAGACCTACACCTTATTTACTCGCAAATATATCGACTTCTATTCAAGATCAATGGACATTTAGTTGGGGGGGGGGGGGTTTCAACAAAGGAAGAGCAAATGTACAGTCTTTAAGATTACTCCATATGCCCCCCCAAAATAACGAGAGCCTGATTCCACTGCGTCGTACCACACATTTTGCTTAGGCAGATATGCACCACTTTGGGAAAGGGAAAGGCGCTGATTTAGTGAATTGTAGCGTTTGTGATCAGTTGAAGTCGTTTGCTATTATTTCCTTGATTTCCTCTCTTTCGCATAACAGCAATCTGAGATAGTTGCAAAGTCTACAACTTCCTTTCCTAGTTTGATTGTAAAAGTCATTATCAAATTATAATGAACAAACTATTATTATTATTATCATTATTATTATTATTATTATTATTATTATTATTATTATTATTATTATTATTATTATATCATTAATATCATTATTATTATTACTATTATTTTCATTACTATTCTTCTTATTATTTTCATTATTATCATTATTTTCATGATTATCATTAGTATTATTTTTTTCATTACTATTTTTGTCATTTGTATTATTATCATAATTTGTATTATTATTATTATTATTATTATTATTATTATTATTATTATTATTATTATTATTATCATTAGTATTATTATTATTATCATTAGTATTATTATTGCTATTATTTTCATTACTATTCTTCTTATTTTCATTATTATCATTATTGTCATGATTATCATTAGTATTATTATTTTCATTACTATTATTATCATATTATTATTATTATTATTATTATTATTATTATTATTATTATTATTATTATTATTATTATTATTATTATTATTATTATTATTATTTGTATTATTATAGCTTAAGTTTACTCGGGGATGTTAGGGCTGAACCAAATTTCATTAGACTCCAAACGCTTGTCTTGTCCTCTTCTTTAAACGTTTGTGCATTTGTTGCAGAGGGCTCGCGGGTCGGGTCTTGGTGATTTTCACTCATTCTGAGCACTTTTGACTTTTTATATTTTCCGATCCCTCATTCAGTCTAGATTATATGGACAGGTCGCTGAGTGATTTACATGAATAGAATTCAATTTTGTTGGGTTCTTCGTTGTGTACGAACATGTTCAATATAATTTAACCTTGTTTCTCTCAAAACACACTTTTTCACCACTTCTTGCTTACATATTATGCCGGTTTTTTTCCCCACCATTTTTTTATTTTCCAAACTCAGAGACTTGAAATTTGGCATGTAGTTGGAGAAATGGTTTGTACTTTTGGCTGGTTAATTATTTACGTTTTGCTTTAGAACTTTTAAAACATTTTTTTTCATGCCAAAAATATCGAATTCCATATCCCCAACTTTGAGAACAAGTTTAAATACTTTTAAATATTGCATCAAAAATCAAAATAGCCAGCTCCAAGCACCTATGTATTTGTGAACATTTGCAAATTACAGAATTTTAAAAAGTTAAACACAAGAAATGGTGGGGGAAAAAATTATATCAAATGTTCATGATGGCCACCGCTTCCATGGCAACGGCTTACGTAGTCGAGTGTGTCAACAATTGAACATGAATCTTTTGTCTCATACTTACTGCCTGTGACAAAAGTTGTTTCAGTTTGTCTTTAGTTTAAAAATGGTGTCCTGTAAGTATCGAGTTAAACAAATTTGTTTACTAAGGTCAAGTATTCGTTCATCTCAAAACTAGCTAACAGTCTGCCTTAGAAAGTTATCAACATGAAGAAATGTTAAGACTTATCCCGCCGCTGAAATCGTTTTTAAAAAGGCGTGGCATTGTCATTTGTGAGCCCGCAAGTAGAAGAGAAAATAGTGTTCGAAAAACGAAGTGAAGTTTTGTGATATCAAATAAATTTATGACAAGAAAGTTTATAGGTTTATAAAGATGTGAGAGGGGGGGGGGGTATGTAAAAATAACATGTTTATAAGGTATCACAGAAAGAACAAAGAACAAAGAACTAAAGGTAACGGAGTACGAGAAAGAGAAGGAGTGAAATGAAAGAGGCGGAAAGGAGAGGAAGGGGAAGAGAGAGAAAGAGAAAGGGAGGGGGTGAGGAAGAGAAAGAGGAGAAGGAGGAGGAAGAGGAGGAGGAGGAGAAGGAGGAGGAGGAGGAGGAGGAGGAGGAGGAGGGGAGGAGGAGGAGGAGAGAGAGAGAGAGAGAGAGAGAGAGAGAGAGAGAGAGAGAGAGAGAGGGGGGGTAGGGGGGATGAGAGAGATACACGCAGGGAAAGAAAGAAGTAAAACCTTGTATAGCTTTCAGCACTGTAATGTTAGTGAGGGGGCAGGACCTCGGAATTTGACTTTCTTCGTCTCTTTTTGACCGAGCCAAAAGGGAGGGTTCGTGTAAAGTGTCTTTCCCAAGGTTACAAGGTTGGACAGAGCTGAGCTCTGAACCCGAGCCCGCCATCTCACGATTGCTGGCTCAAAAGCCTGACCCCTAGACGGAGGACACCACCAAAGACATAGAGAGAAGAAAAATAGACAGACAGACAGAACCAGAAATTTTTAAAAGAGAGAGAGAGAGAGAGAGAGAGAGAG